GACTAACGCTTTACAGTTCGCTATATTAGCTATTATATTACAACAGGCTAATAACAATTACTAGTACCCGATTGCCTTCTTCTTAAGGAAGATAATTAATGCTAAGCGTCGCTACGAGACCTACAAACAAGAATTACTCGCTATTATCGAGGCCTTTAAGTATTAGAGGCACTACCTCGATAGGGCTTAATATACGATACAGGTCTATACAGACTATAACAACCTCCGTAGTATTACTAAGGTTACTAGGGTTATAGGTCGATAGGCTAGATAGGCCGTCTACCTCGCTAGGTTTAATTTTGATATATTATATCGGCTAGGCGTAAGCAACCCTGCTAATAGCCTATCGAGGCAACCTAATTACGATAGCGAGACTTAGTGTATTAACTTATTGTTTCTAACCCTATAGTATAAGATTGCTATAGCCCGTATTGTTAATAAGCGAGCGTAGGATAAGCGGCTTACCGGACTCCGCGACGGCTTAAAGCATATTAATGCTCTTACTATATTAATAGTGCGTATTAAGGATACAGATAGGAAGAGTTATAATAACTCCCTAGTTAATATCGCTATATATAGTAACAGCGATAGCACTACTATAGTTAATCCGGCTACTAGTGCTACTAGATATATATAATACGTACCTCGTTTAATAGCGAGGATGCTATTAAATAACCTTACAAATAGAGATAGTTAATCGTTTATAGATAAGCTGTTACGTGCTTAGCAGAGGGACGCCTTTGCTATCGAACGTGTTAATAGGCTTATAAGTAGGCGAACGACTCGATCTAGTAAGAGTAACTAGTTAATCGATAATAAGGGTTACTTAAAGTTTAAGGGTAGATACTATATCCCCGCTAAACAATCGATTAGACAAGAGCTTTTAAAGCGATACTATAATTGTAAGCTTGCTAGTTACTACAGTATAGAGAGGTCGTACGAGCTACTATCGCGTATATACTACTAGCTAAATAGTAAACGGTATATAAAAGAATACGTACAGACCTGTATAGTATACTAGCGTATTAAAGCACTAAAGCACTTACTATTTAGCGAGTTGTCTTCACTTCCTGTTCTAAAGAAGCTATTCGCAGAGCTTATAATAGATTTTATTATAGGCCTTCCGCCTACTAAGCGTAGGGGTAGTAAGGATATCTTCGATACTATCCTTATTATAGTAGATCGATTTACTAAGGGGGCTCGTTATACCCCTACTCGGAAGGATTAGACGGCTATTAATATAGCTAAAGCACTATAGAATAACATCTTCTATAGCTATTAGGGGACCCCTAAGGAGATAATCTCCGACCGGGGCTCGATATTTATATCTTATTATTAGAGTAAAATATGCCTATAGCTAAGACTAAAGCATCGGCTATCTATAGCCTTCTATCTATAAATAGACGGTTAGACCGAAAGGCAAAATACTACTCTATAGTAGTACCTACGCAGCTATATTAATAAGAACCCTAACGACTAGGTTAACCTCCTATAGCTAGCTGAATTCGTATATAATAACAGTGTCTACTTATTAACTAAGGCTTTACTATATATAGCTATAATAGGCTAAAACGCTGCCTTACTATAAGACCTATTTACCTCGCTCGAGGCCGAGCGTAAGGAAAGGGAAGCGTATTAAGTACTAACCCCTAAGATACTAGCAGCTATTAAGAGGGTTTAAAAGATGCGAGAAATTCACGCTAAGATAGCTAACAAACTAGCAAAGGCCTAGGCCTATTAGAAGGCCTACTATAATAAACCCTACCTTCTAATAACCTTCCGGAAGGGCGACATAGTTATACTTAGTACGAAGAACCTCCGTATCCGTAAACACCCCTCGCCTAATAGCAAAACAAGGCCTAAACTCGCACTAAGGTACATTAGTCCTTTTCGTATCCGAGAACCTAGGGGCACCTAGGCCTACTAACTATAGCTTCTACCTTATTATACTATCTATAATACCTTCTATATATCCCTCCTTAAGCCGTACTACCTACGCGAAGGGGATAAAGCGCCTACTAAACCCGAGGACATACTAGCTAATAGTAAAGAGCTGTAGTCTATAGAACGTATCCTAAAGCACCGGACTAGGCAAGGCAAGAAGGAGTACCTATTAAGATAGCAAGGCTATTTACCTAAATAGAACTTATAGGAAGCTAAAGGTTCCTTTAAGGACATAACTAAGTTATTAGATAAGTATTAGACTAGTATAAAGGACAAGAAGAAGGCTAAGAGCTTATAATGCCGCTAATATTACTAAAAGAGATCTAGGATAAATACTATCCCTAGGGTAATATTCGCTAACTAATTAGAAGCAAGCAATTGTTAGCAAGGACAATAAGACTATACTACGCGCGCTACGACGCGTTAATTAGCCGCTGTCCTTTTAAGGACTCTACCTCTTGTTTATTTATCCTATAGGGCCTCGAGGCCTAAGCGATCGATAAGGGCGATACGCGCGCGCGTACGAATAACGATAATAAGGATAATAATAGTATCGCGCTACAAGCTAGTAGTATATTAGCAGCCGATACGGCTATATTAGTAACAGTATTACGGAGTGTGTTGCTATTTAAAGAAGGAAAGATACGGCTATATTAGTAACGGTATTGCGGAGTATATTGCTAGTTAAAGAAGGAAATAAAGGATAAGGTAAAGTTAGTGCTAAGACGGCTAGCGCCGCTATTGTTAAATATTACCTACTATTATTACTACGCCTATAAAAACAACCTTACCTATACTACGGCCTAAGGCCGGAACGCACTGCGCTAACTAGGTTAAAAGATTAAGTAGTTAATAGGCTAACTAAGGGCAAAAATACAGAGCTAAGCTAGCCGGGGTCGATCTTATAGACAATAGGTTACTTCTCGATCTTTCTAACTCTTTAAGTAAGGCGAACCTTAACTACTACGCTTATAATAGCCGTTACTTATAGAAACTAGACGAACTATATTTTAGAAGAATTAACAATTAAAGGCTACTAAACCTAACTAATTAGGGCTAGCGAAACTACGAATAGTAAATAGCCCTCGTAATAATAAGAACAATCCCTCGGAAGCGAATATTACTAGGTCTTTTAGAGTAGACGCTAAGAACTCGGATAATATTACTTAGAACGGAGGTAGTACTATAATACCTCGTACGTCTACCTATTATAGTAGGGAAGACGCGCTCGTATTATAATTAGCGAATAGTCCTTAATTCTTATAGATATATATTACCTTATTATTATAATATATAAGGATAGCGTAGTTAGAGTATTATATTACTATTAGAAGGTAAGGTTTAATACGGTTATATAATTAGGTAGTTAAGTGTTTAATTTAGCGCGGACTAAGTAGCTTATTAGATTTGCTAAGTTAGTAGTAATAGAGGTCGAGATTAGAATATAGAAGGCTACGAGGGCGCGGCCTTTAGAAGGGAAGCGTATATTAGGGCTAAAGAGGCTATATATAATTAGTATATAACTAGGCGGCTAGGCCGAGTAAAGCTAGGGTCTTAATGCCTTAGGCAGGGCTTAGCGCTTAGCGTTAGGCTAACTCTCCTACCTTCCTCCCTCTCCTCCTAGATCCTTATCGAATACTACTTATACCTACTACTCCCCTATCTACCTACTAATATACCCTTATTATATCGGTAAAAACAATTCGATAGAGTAATAAAAACTAACGATACTACCTATTTAAAGAAGTTAAGCGTAAGATAGGCCCGAAAAAGAAAAGCGTTTCTCGAAAACCTTATAAGAGGGTATAGAGTTCTTAATATCCTAAAAGACTCGATCGTAATCCTACTATCCTATAGGAGAATCCTTATTCGCTAAGAAATTATAGTAAAGATCTTATAACTTTTAAATAATAAGAGGAATGCTATTAATAATATATCTATAGCTAGCTATAGATAGGAGACTAAATACGAGAGCGTTTGCCTTGCTATTTAGGGCTATATTTAGGAGGGGAGGGGCTTAGGTTAAGAAGATTTTAAGGGAGCCGTAAGATAGTACTAAAAGAAGGGTATTGCTAGTATTTCGAACTAATTAAGAGGCTCGTCTATCGACGGTATAGTAGTATTAGATTCGAATCTATTTACCGGCAAGCGTTCGATAATGAAGTTCTAGCTCTTCTAACCGTATTAGTAGTCCACTATTGACCAGATCTTGTATAATGATGCCAGAGCATTCCACCTGTCTGCTGGATGGCAGCTGGATAGCTTGGCCACGTTTGCTAATCGTCTGACCAAGCCAAGCTCGAAATTCAGGGCTGTCGTGGTCGGAAGCATCGTGAACTTCCATTCCTAGGGCGTTGAGCTGGCGGCGGTTACGAGCGCGCGTGTTACGGGTTGACTTGCGGATAGCAATACCATGGTTTCTACGTGTCGTACGTGTCTTCTTGGTAGGTGTCTTCTTCGAAGGTAGAGGTTTGCTGGGCGGTGGGCAGCCTTGGCGGCAGAGGCTTTATCGAGGGCCTCTTCAGTTGGAAACACAGCTAGATCAAGGACTGTTAGCTTCGGTAGAACAGGCGGAGGTGATCGAGACGGTGCTAGCAACTCCTGCGAATGCTTCTGCTCGAGCTCGGCAAGGCGTGCAGTAAGGTCGTCAATCCGAGACTTCGGAGTCGGTTGGCGTAGACGAGGGCTTCGTGACTTTGCCCTCCACTTGTTGTTTGGACACTGCTTGTCATAACTCTTGTGGCCTGGCTGGCGGCATCTGAAGCATACATTTATGTAAAGGCAATGCTCTTGCTCTACGTCTGACAGGGGGGCGAGGTATATCATTTAGTCCGGGGCTTGCTGCTGAGCCGGAGCTAGCGGAGGTGAGGAAACAGGTACCCAGGTAGAAGACGTGACCTCTCAAGCGACTAGACTCGTAACTGAAGACTCTTGATTCCAAGGTCTCTCATAGCGAGTGAAGCTTCAAGCTTCTTAATCGTGTCTGTGTGAACCATGAAGGACGGCATCGTGAAGGTAGAGGTGGAGTTGGAGCGGGATCAACCCGCAATAAGTCGTGAAAGGCTGATCAGGCCGGCAAAGCGGACTGGCTTTGCTTCAAGGTCGTGACTCTAGTGTAAAGCGAGTCCGTAAGCTCGAAATTCAGGGCTGTCTGGTCTTACCCACGCTTGTGTTGACTCTCCCTGCAGTGTAAACCGTGTTCCATCGTAGGCATCGTGGCTTCATTAGTCCAGGATCTCAAACTGCTAGACCACCCAGTTCTTCAAGTCTACTTGGTTGCGCTGCGATGCATGAATTTATCCCTCAACTCTTGTGTAGAGTAATGTGTTGTCAAGCCCGCAACATACTCCGGCTCGGCAATGCCAAATACTCCTCTCGCATCGCCCGAGACAATTTGTCCATATTGGACCTTCTGATGACCGACACGCTCAATCACTTGGTCGATAGTCGCATTGGGTGCTTGTGCTGTCATGGGCGATCTGAATGCGTGAGCGATCTCGAAAGGCCCGAGACCAACCTTTCTGCCTAGTTGCCAGTACCCCCAGTAGGTAGGAAGAACGCAAGCGATGCAGACCACGGTCGAAATGATGGCGCCCATCATGTACAGGTATTTGGTCTTGTAATGGATGCTCTCGGTGTAAATGGTAGCGGGAACACTCTGCATCTCATTTTTGTGGGCTGGGTCAGTCTTGCTGACATCCATCGATACTGAGAACATGATCTCGTTGATCATCGCCACCAGACTCTGCATGGCTCGAGTCTTCGTCTCAGGGTTGATTGGCGAGTTGAAGTAGAAGCCACACTGATCGGTCTGGTCCGGAGCATCAAGCAGGTATGGCTGGGCATTTCCGGTGTTCTCGAACGAGTATCCTGTCATCACGTCGTACGTAGTGTCGGCGTGCCCGCCCAAGTAGGTGTTGAATGCCTGCACTAAACCTCCCAATCGAGGGTAGCTGAACATTCCCATCGATTCCTGGAAGTCTACTGTTTTGATGACTTGGAAAGCCTCTTGCTGCTTACTGGCTTGATCGAATGGCAGAACCGTGCTGTTGGAATATGATTTCTCGGTCGCCAGCATGACGCTCTGAATACCTCGTGGACCGCCATAATTCTGAAGCATTACTGGATAGCCAATGACCGCAGGTCGCAGGGTGCAAGTCTGGTTGAAGAGCGTCCCCGGACAGGTCGGCGATTGGGAGGTAGCGTTCTGCTCGTTCCGAGCCTGTGTATAGAGCACATTCATGGTGATAGCTGCGGGTGTAGATGACGCGACTGTGGTGCCATCGTCGCCATACACATCATAGCCATAGACCATTGCAAAAGAGATGTCGAACGTGACAGCAGATTGCCAAGTTGCTGAGCCATCAGCTGCCACGATAGGTGAGAGGTCTTGTGCCCAGTTGATGGCTTTTTGAGTTGGCTCCGCGCAGTCAAACACGAAACCAGCGCCAGGAACTTGAGCATAACAAGTCGCATTAACGCATCCATCGAACCCAACGTATGGCAACGCGCGCGGGCTCTGATTCCAAATGTAAAGCTCGTCAGCGAGGTAATCTGAGATTTGGACGTCTCCACCCCGAGAAGTCGGCTTGCCAGTCAATGGAATAGTGTCGTTCGACCAGGTTTGGATCGTTGCTTTAGTATTGGGTGAATCCTCAAGGATTTCAGTGACAGTGGCTGATTGCATCAAGATACCGTCAATGATTGTGAACCTGCATTCGAAGTCAGTGTCAAGGGTCATATGGCTCTTCTTAAGCATCTACTCACTTTGCCATCAGTGCTGCCAAAGCGATTCCATTGAAACTTTTCCCTGCCAATGCTATGGCCTTAATGCTCGAGCTGAAGTTCCAGGAGTTGTGCAGCTTTTCGATAGTGGTGCCATTTAGAGCTTTCCTCCACCAGGCGATCGCAACGCCATTTGCTATTGCCAGACCGAAAGCCAGATTCGCCACATTGTTGAGCAATGCAAGGATGACTGAAGGACGAATCTGCTTAGGCCAGCGGCCTTTTTCCACGCCGTGTTGATATAACTGCTTCCACGATCGATCCGACTGTGCCATTCCATCGGATACGCAAAGGATGGCTACATTTCCTGCGAGACAGGAGAGGACAAACACAAGCGAGCCGAGACCCAACCACCTGTGTGGCATGTCAGACCTTTCTCGTCCCTCGCACATATGTATTCTGGGACTTACGGAAAGCGTGATACGAAGCCAGGATTCCATTCTGCCTCGGGCTTTACCTCTTCAAGTCCTTCCTCAGTTTCCTGGCAGGCCGGGCGAATATTCTCAGTAGGTCCCTTCTTCTCCTCGTAGAACGGCGCGGCAGGAGCAGCGAAGGGTTGCGGAGCCGGACCTTTTTCGGCTTGAAATGCTGAGGAAATGCCCATGGTGTCTTGATTGTCCTACCAGTAGTGCAGAGATGCCTCAAGAAGGCATGCGAGAGAGCAGAGCAACAGGTCGTTATAATCGCATTGCTTTGCTGTCCAGCCGGCATCCTAGCTTCATGGCTGCCATGCTTCTAGCTGCCATGTTTCGCCTTGCCCGACTCTGCATGTGGACGACTGACCTGTGGGAGCCAGCCGGACTGTGAACCGGGTCAATCAGGGCTGAGTACTGGCGAGGCGAGATGTGGTTATGCATATCTGTGCAAGCCCAAAAAGGCTGCTAGGACGTACGTGCGCATTTTGTGGCTGGCTGGCTTGCGGCTGGCTAGGGAGGCCCATACATACCAGATTGTCAATGGAGGTTCTTACCGCCTCCACCAACCCACCTCTACGACCAACTTTCTATGTTTGCCCTCGCACTACACTCGCTGTTAACTCGCAAAATGCCTCTACGTATCGATCTCTCGCTATAGAGGGCTTAGATAACCTCACAGGTTAATAGCGGCACTATACAAGGCGAAATCCTATAGCACCTTATATAAGAGACTAGTTACTAGATAGCTCTTTCTACGCTTTGTCGGAGGCTTAAGGAATAGGGGGTTAATTATAGCTATTACGCTTACTATAACCGAGTTAATAATGTCGAGGCACTAAAGATCCGAGTCGTATATACCTTCTCCGCTTTACGCTTAACTAATAAAGAAGCGGTTAAAGTACTAAAGATAGATAGATTTGATATTAGCTAGCGGAGATATCAACGGATACGTTAAGAGCTTAGATTAAAGAAGGCATTATCGCGAGATAGATAGATAGAAGCGGAAGAGGAGATAGTAGAGGTCTTATAGGAAGAGCTCGAGAAGTCTGCGGTAGAGTCCTTCGGCCGACGGCACCTATATACCTATATTAGGTCTAAATACAATATTATTGGTAGAGATCGGCTGTATCGTATAGCTTGCTTACTAAATCCTAAAGGGTTGCGAGTCCGCCGCGAGCGGGCGCGAGAGCACTATAGAGCGATTGTTATACTAGGCCCTAGCTACGCAATATCAATAGATGCTTACTATAAATTCGAGCATTAGGGGATATAGATCTACGTAGCTATTAATGTCCACTCGCGTTACATTATCTAGGTCTACGTAGGGATTACTAGCCGTATAGCTATATCCGTACTCGCTTAATATATTGCAACGATTAAGAATAGTAGTGTAATGCTATAGATTATCCGATTAGACCGTAGGGCGGAAACGATTCTAGCCGCGGACGCTCACTATGCGACTCGCCTTACGACTCGTAGTAACCTAGAACCGGAACTAGAACTAGAACTACTGGCTTTCGAAGACTGCTTTAAATACGGTACGAGCAAGATAAACTAGCGGATCGAGGCATAGTAGCGCTAGTAAGCACCCGCATTGAATAGCTAGAGGGGCTATTTTTACGAGTTACTGCGCGAGTTACTATACGATGCTGAATTGCTAGCCGATCGGATTGCCTTCCTTGCAGTCTACATACCAATTATACGCTATAAAGTCCTCGAATTTGTTTACCTCTAGAATAGCTATCGGATTAGGAAGCAGGCTAATCGACTATACGTCGTACTAGGTATTCCGCATATTCTACACCATTATCTAGAGCTGAGCGGGCATTCTCATTAAGGTATTCCTATACCTAATAGCGTACTTAATAATATAGAGCAAGACCTTCAAGGATTCGGTATATATTAGATTCTATAGTACTCGCTATAGACTCGCTATAGACTCGCTAATAGACTCGCTAATTCCTAGATCTTAAAGCCTACCTGCCCGAGGCTACGCTTACTTAGTGTTAGATAGCATTATAGACTCGCGGCTTCTCGTATCTAGTTAGTAGTAGCGAGAATAATAGCGATAGAGAGCGAGTTCACCGCTAGGTATACTTACTTCTTCGATAGCTAATTGCCGAGCATATAGCTATAGGGTTAGAGCCTAAACTAATGGAGTTAGACAAGCTATTAGCAGCTCGTAATTAGACGTTAGGTAGGGCGAATACCGGGGCTAGATTGATTGAGTTTGCAAATAATATATACTAATCTGAAATAAGGGATTTGCGAGCCGGCCGCGAGCCGGCCGCGAGTCGCTTATTTCAGTTCTATTTCCTTCTTAATCTTTCAATTCCTATCTTGTTCTACCTCTATACTACTGCTATAGTTCTACCTCAGTTCTACTGCTAATAATGCCTGTCTAGGGTACCTTTTGTACTATTACCGGCGCCAACTATATAACACTATTGAAAGCATACGCATTCTGTAACCAATGTAGTCTTAAGAACCCTAATCTACTAACCGAGCGATTTGTACGCGAGCCGTTAGTAGCAGCCGCTACTGCTGCCGCTGCTACTACGAGTTCAACTGCGAGTATAGTACGAGGCTTTAATGCGTTCCCTTCTCTACCTAAGGCGGCGAATACTGTACGCAATGCTGCTATTTAGCAGTATAAGCCAACTTCTCGACCAAATGCTAGATCTCGGAGCCTCTCGCAACGTCTACTAATACCTATACAACTATTAAAGGAGCTAATAAAGGTATTATTTACCTGCCGCTATTTAGTTTTTAGCTAGCGAGTAGAGGTTTCTCGTAGGGGTAGAGTCGACCTATAGGAATATAATCCGCTAGTCCTATAGACTTCTATTACTAATATCTAGTCTAACAAAGACTTCGAAGAAGCTAATATATTACTTATAGACTAGGTTCTTAGTCGGATTGACGCTAAGGACCTACCGTAAGGTAGCGTCTATTAGGTCGACGACTATACGGACTACTTCTTCTATACTGATTTCGATAATAAGCGCTTGTTACTAGAGAAAGTCGCTTCTAAAGTACTCGGCCTAGGACTAGTTAAAGAGGCTCTTATACTCTTTAAACCGCAAATAGGAGGGAAAGCAACAAAGTAGCTACTAATCTATTACCTTAAAATCTGTATCTAACAACAGCGGAAGCTATAGCAACAAAGGCAACTAAAGCGGAAGCACCGGCTAAGTACTCCTACCGCGAGTAGTAGCGCGAGTGCTATAGCGAGTTAGGACGGGGTTGTTCTATCTATAGAGATTAAGTAAGAGAAGCTATAGAAGGAGAAGGTAATCGATACTAAAAAGCCGCCTAAGTTTATTAACCTAAGCGGCGAGGACACCGCGAGGCTACCGCGAGTTACGCCTGTTCTAAAAGAGTCGAGCGAAACTAAGGACTAGCAAGATAGTTAGCAAGATAGTTAGCAAGAAGGCTAGTAAGGCTAGCAAGGCTAGCAAGGTTAGTAAGGTTAGCAAGGTTAGCAAGATGGCTAGCAAGATAGCTAGCAAGATAGCTAGTAAGATAGTTAGAGCGGACAGAAGAGTTAGAAGCTAAAGCGTGCTTAGAAGCTAGTTAATCTATTGTCTATAGAGACACGATCGAAGAAGAAAGGAAATTGAAATATAGACTCGCTATAGACTCGCTATAGACTCGCTCCTTAAATATTATCTACTAGTGGCTCGCGATCGCTATTTGGCTATAGCTCCTTCTATATCGTATATACATCCTTAGACTTAATAATAGCCTTATTCTTAAGCTATTTGAACTACGAGAGGCAATATCCTTCTAACTTATCGAACCTAGCTTCCAATGCCTTAATCTTTGCCTCTAGTTTAGTATTCTTTGCCTCTACGGCCTCGACTCGCGCCTGTATCGCGGCTAGCTCGCTGTTTCTATCGTCTTCTTCAACCTCTTCTATACTAGCCGTATAGCTAGACTTGCCCTTACACTTGTAATAAGCGTAGACACGCTCGCCCTTAGTATTAAGTATACGACACTCAAAGTTATTAGAGCGTATATAGTAGTAGCATAGCGCTAGTGCAAGCTTGCTAGAGTCCGTTTCTATAATAATTCCAGTAGCCTTATATTTCCGCAGTCTATTCAATACCGCCTTCTTCTTATCCGGTATCGCTGTCTAATCGAGCAGCTCTTGCTATATCTGCGCGCTATAGTACTAGAAATCGTAGGTATTTATAGTCGTAGGGCGTCGAAGTCTAGAGCGAGTTAGCAGCGAGTCTATAGCGATGCGCCTCGCGACTTACGATGAATATTCTCCTCCTCCTACTAGTAAGTGCGCTACTAGTAAGTACGCTGCTGAAGTTGAAGCTAAAGCTACTAAAGCTACGCTGAGAATAAGGTCTCGCGGAATACCAGTTATAGCGGCTGCTACTGTCGGTATCGGTGTCGCTATCGGTGTTGTCGATAGAAGAAGAACATTGCGAGGCAAGGCGCGAAAGTGTAGCGAGTCTGAGTGAGGTTTGTCGCGACAATAGGCATAGTGAGGTTAGTAAGGAAGGCGCAATAGGACAATGGACTGAAGTGAAGCCAACCCTCCATTGACAATCTGGTATGTATGGAGCTCCGTCGCTGGCTGGCATCAACCTTCTTCCACTCACCGCAAGACGCGCAACTGGAAGCGGTATGTGTGCCCAAGCAAGCACTCATACTGAAGTCTGAACGTGTCGAGGATGCACGTCGCATTGAAGTGTGCAGAAGAGCGATTTGACGCCCACTATCATGGTCCTTGGTATAGTGATTCTGCAAATGCTACACCTCGGCAGGGAGCTGTCTGCAGAGTCATGCCGCATCTCTCAGCTGTCAGCTGGCGCCGTGGCTTCGACTTGAGCACGGAGTGGCCGCCGTATGTATCTTCGGTTGCTAACGATGCATAAGACGCCGGCGCGAATATGCAGAAACAACAACATCATCTGCTGCGCATACTTGAGCATGATCTGGCCGAACTGGAAAACATGATCTAAGCAGTAGAAGGAACTTAGTGCAAGCCAATCTAGGACTTCCTGAAGAACGACACCTGCGTTCTCTACCCTCGACATTGGCGGCGTCATTCATGTTAACACTTGCGAACCTCTTGATGATACCCTAATGAGCCTCTGACATTGTAATGCTACGGGAAGTTCCTCATCGTTCACGGGTCGAGATCTCAATCCTGCTCTCCGAACTCTTTTTGAAACAGCAGGGGATTAACGAGACTGACGTTGAAAGTTGAAGGTGGTTCAGGACCGCTACCTCATGAGGACTCGAAACAGCACCAAGGACTGGTGTTTAATCGATGCCGAGGTTCGTGTGTCGAAAGACCCTTAAGAAGAATTGCACAGCTTGCTTCCCAACCCAGCTCTTGTATCCAGAATCAGAGCGACAATCATACCATAGAGGCCTGTGGGACATTGTTGGTCAAAGATATTTGGAGATCATCTTGATGCCACCAACTCACCGAGAACCTCAGCAAAAATCAATATCAATACCATGCTCACAAAAAGTCTCGGCTGCTGCGCAATACTTCTAACTCCGGCATCACCAGCGATGCCAATCGTGAATCCCGCTGCAAGACTGCAGAGTCCAACCGCAAGTCCACTTCCGAGATTTATCAGACTCGTGTAGAGTGGTAGAACGGTTGTGATTTTGTTTGCGATCAGGACTGAACAGACTAGACCATAGATCGCTAGGATTCCGGAGAAGACGGTGGGTAAGATGGCACGAACTCCGAGATGTGGATGGATGATGCCGGCAGACATGCAGCCGACGCTCGATTTTGCTGTGCCGTAGGCCGCGCCGAAGGAGGAGAAGACGATTGCGGCTACGACGCCCATGGAGGAGAAGAAGGGCTATAGATTTAGAGTCAGTGCTTGAGAGTTACGTCCAAAGGTGGATACAGGGAGGGCACACTGCGTATGCTGGGCTAAGTTTTGAGTCTTGTCAGTACGCTGGCGAGCATTGTATACTGATCGGCAGGACCTACCATAGATCCGTGTCCATGTCGGGAATATGTGTTTTGCTGTAATGAGATTTTGTAGAGTGTGCATAGATGGGGGAGAGTAGGAATGAATCTTTATAATTCCTTCATAGTGGCCTACATTTGTATCCGGGTGTCAGGCTCCAGAATTCACAGGTCGCTTTCGCTTCGGTTCTGTGTCGCCGTGCAAGCATCAACACTCCCTTACAGGCCAGTCTAAGCGACCACACGGCAACTACTCTGCAATGTCATGATACCGACTTGGTATACACTCTTGGGTGGGTGGCTCAATCCATACGGGAGCAGACGCCACAGGTAGGCGGAAGAACATGATTGAGCTGGGTTCGTGTGAATAAGTATCCACTCGAATTACAAACTTGCTTCGCTTCCGAGTACTAGGCGACAGGGATCTGAATTTCTGCTGATGAGGCATGAGCATGGAGATGAAGTTGACAGCGCAAGTCGAAGGCTGAAGTCTTGCCTTGCCCTCAAAGTCTTGGCATTCCCGTCTGCCGCATTGGACCTCATCGTCGCATCCACTACATCTGCATTCATCATTCTTGCGCGCTCCGTTCAGTGAACTCGCTGTTTCCACGTCTCTGAAAAGTCTGGAACGACCTCGCACTGCGCTTCCCACTCCTTCCGCGCCCGCAAAGGGCTTCCCAAAATGTCTCAATACGTGGGCAAGGTACCTCTATCCATCCCCACTATGCTCATCCCTCTACCCAACTAATCTCTCTCCTCACAGACCCGCCTCGCCTACTCACGAACATGGCACCTCGTAAACCTCTCAACAGACCCCAGACCCTTAGGCCGTTCGTCCCTCCACCTTCCCCCGTTCCATCCCAACTAACCATCTCTAATTCCCAGGCCTCGCAACCTCAATAGCAATAACCCTAATGGGAAAGCACAAACCAATCTACAACCCATCCACCGACTGCGGCGACTACGTAGTTGCAACAAACTGCCACAATCTCCACACGACAGGGAAGAAAATGGAAAAGAAGAAATATTATTCTCATACGACGCGACCTGGAAGTTTGAAGGAAATTACGATGGAGAAGATGATGGCGAAGTGGGGTGGTGGTGAGATCCTCAGACGAGCGGTTAGGGGCATGTTGCCGAAGAATCGGTTGAGGGATGAGAGGATGGCGAGATTGAAGTGTTTTGAGGGACAGCAACATCCGTATAAGGGGAATTTGATGAGGAAGTATGGGAAAGAGGAGGTGGTGAGGACGGTGGAGGAGCGACAGCAGGGGAGTTTAGGAATAGGAGGGGAGAATAATGTGGCGTGAGAATTGCATGACAGGGATATCGAATGAATTGCTGCTGAAGAGGAGCGCGGGATGATGGCGATTTCGCGCACACTCGCTATGCATCGCTAGTGCCGAGGGAGCAGTGAGGAGACGCCTCCTGGAGCAATGAGACGGCTGACGAGGTCGAGAGGAGAAACACGACCACAAGAAACAGATACCTGGCGGCCGGGACTGAGTGGCAGGAATTTGTCTTCGTCGTCACAAGAAGAGGGTATCTTTGATTCAGTCTATGACAAAGCTAAAGCTTAAACGCCACTGTAAATATATACTCAACTGAAGAGGCCATGTGTAAGCCCTTCCCATATATCAATGCCAAGATTCTTCAACCTTCCTCCCATCTCCCTCACAACTTCGCCTTCCCACCTTCCCTAGTCACAGTGCACTCAATCAACCCATTCGGATCACTCTGCGGCGCATAAACCTCAGCATCAGCCCCCGTATTCTTCAACCCCTTATACCAACTCAAGTCAATCTCAAAATAATGCTTATTGGGCAACTTATAATAAACACTCTCCACTTTCGGCACAACGTTTAAAATCTCTTCCGCCATGAGATACATGGTATTCTGCACAGACGGAGAATTCTCCGTCGCGAATTTCTCGCACGTAATCCTTCTGGCGTCTTCCCAAGCCATGTTGAAACGACCCGCATCTTTCTTGACATCGGAGAGTGTGGAGAAGGTCGACCATGTCCAGTTCGCTTGGACTTCTGTGGAGAGGATACGATCCCAGGTTTCCGGTAATCTTGTGAATTCATCGCGATGGAAACCCCAGAATTGCGAGCCTGTGGATTTTAGAACGAGGAGTCCTTTGATTCCGCTTTCAATTTTGATCCCTTGTCCTCGTTTCACGACTGCGTATACAGTTCTCTTCTCCTCTCCATCTCGTAGGAAAGAATGCGGATGTGGTTTCCCCTCGACTTCCATTCTCGTCCAGCGATGCACTGTGACCCAGATGTGCGCGGCGGAGATGTGGGAGTATGTGTCGATGAAGTGTTGGCCGAGAATTGCGGCGAAGTGTTCGGGTGGGTTTACGGGGTGGAGTTTGGCCATGATGTAGGTCGTTTGTTTTTGTGTGTCGGTTGCGACGATGTTGCTGTTGTCGGAATGCGTCCAGGAGGCGGCGATGTCGCCTTCGAGCATGGAGCAGACGGTCATTTCTACGACGTCTTGGGTGCCGTCGGTGTTGCGGTGGACTTTGAACAGGCGGACATTGTCTTTGCCGTATTTGGCTTGGGCGAGAATGGCCATAATGGATGATGGGTTGTTGTTCTTGCTGTGAGGAGTATGAGGTTGTCTGTAGAGCAGACAAAGACGGATTTGTGTATGAAGTTTGTGAAGGATCAGATAGTAGATGATGCACGAGGCAGCCTTACCGTAGATATATAGACGAGCCCAATGCTTATTCTTGATAAGAGTTGGCTATCGGAGGCAGGAATGGCTGTGATGTTCGCAGGAGGCCGCCGCCGCCGCGGATGGAAGATGTAGTGAAGAACAGTGAGGCAGATCGACTCGTCGGAGCTGGCCGAGCAATATCATAAACGAGTACCTCTCAGGCCATTGATGCATGAAAGCAAATTTGTGGAGACACACCACTATATGTAGCGTAGACGCAATCGAGCGGATATTCGGCATATACCAGCTTCTTCTTGTCATCGATCGGGGAGATGTTGTCGTCGATACCATATCGGGAAGAAAGTGGGCCACCTAACGTTCCGTCAATAATTGATGCTCCAGCCCATCAATGTGTCCCGCGCCGGCTAAAGTATGTTTATTAGATCGCAGCTGCAGGGACATGGCCAACTTCGAGACCACAACCTCGCTCACATAGCAAGCCACGATCTGAGAATAGCATTGTAGCATTGCGCGTGTCAACCGTCTGCAGTCTCACACCACCTCCACATCACCTCTCACATACCATATCCCACGCGAATGGAACAACGGCGACATCTCTGCTTCCATGAATTCAGACGTCCATCTTCCTAGAGACCTCTGTGCATATGCTGCCAATGACGGCCTCAGAGCCCATGCGCATACCCATACCCACAGGCACAACTGCGTGTGGATGAAGCAGAGATTATAGCATGACGCAGCCACCCAATCGTGCCAACGGCCCCACCGTCGGACCCAACAATGTACTCATACCACCTTCGCGATCAGCCAAAGATGGAGGATCCCTCGCCGCGACATCCTTCATCACCGCCAAACCCGTACAATCCTACACGAGACCCGCGCCTGGCAGTTTCACATCGGAGCTGAAAAGCTTCAACTCGCGACTGGATCTGGGGCAGTATGCTGGGGGTGGGACGGGGCTTGGCTTCACCGCAGAAGAAGGCGGAGCGCTGGATGGAGTCTCGAGCGAACAGCGACAGGCAGAGTTCCGTCAAGAAATCGAGAAGCAGACGCGACTAAAAGCTGGTACGGAGAATTTGTTGGAGGCGCTGAACAGCAAGAATGCCAAGAAGAGTCGAGACCAGCGTCTGGCGGCAGAGAGCCAGCTCAACAGCTCCAATCGAAAGATTGCGCAGCTAAAGTTGGACTTGGAGGCAGAGATACAGCGGAGTAAAGTCGAACCGCTCAGTCCGAAGGGGAGGCTTTCCCAGCTGTTTCGTCCTTTACTACATCGCGAGAACTCGAATTTCTCCGAGGATGGACAAGAGGTAGAGCAGCAACATGATCCGGAGCTGGAGTCGCCTACCTATATTCTTGCCGAGATACTGCAAGCTCTGGAAGCAGAAAACATGTTGCCCGACTACTATGTCAACCACGCTAACGACCTGGTTGAACTTTTTCGACGGCATCCTACGCTAAAGTACGACCTCGCGTGGTCAATATTCGGCATAAGGATCCAGATCATGTTGCTCAGCGACAGTAGAGAAGTGGTCGCTGCGGGTTACCGAGTAATACGATATGCCATCACGGACCGAAAGTCGTTGCAGACGATTCGTGCACTTCATACCGATTACTTGGTCATCCTATCGCTCATAAAAGAGAGCAAGGCTCGTGTAGAGCGAGAGCAGGCACTAAAGTTCATACGAGCTTTTCTCGATGTCAAGGATGGCGTTCGGGAAATACATCCTGCCGTAGCGCGTGTTGTTGTGGCTGTTGCTGATCACTCGGACGATCAACTACGAAGCATAGCCATCCTGACGCTTGCGGAAATTCTGTTGAAGGATCCCATGCTGGTAGTGAACGCAGGTGGCATCAGTGTCCTATCTGAAGCCATGGGAAACGGAGTTTACCGCGCACCCGAAACATTGCTAGGGCCTCTGCTGCACCTCATGGACTTGCCTGCCCGGAGAGGAGTGCTTCGGTCTGGCTTCGAGTTCAGCTCTGCATTTGCGACGTTCACAGAGCCGCATTTCTCTCATGCTTTCGAAGACCGTCTTGTGGCCAGTTCGAGAGTAATTGCAGGTATGTTCAAGAGCTGGCCGGGTTTGATGACGCTCTCCTTGCACGACTTCTTGCCAGTCAGGTCCGTAGTGTCGTCGTTGTACCTTACGGACGTCAGAGTTCGAACAGCAACTCTGGATCTGTTGATGGACATCTTGCGAATCGAGAAGAGATCATGGTCGACACCTTTCATTGGAGGCCGGAGACTGACCACGTATGGACGTGTGGTCAATCTGAAAGATAACCGGCCACCAGCATCAGACAAGAAGCAGGACGAAAACAGCAGTCAGAAACGTAATCTTGTACACCACTTCACTGCAGTCGCGCTCGCAGCACTTCTCCGACAGGGACTTATGCAGGCTTTGATCCACGCAGAGCGCGACTCGCCCACAGATGCGCTCAAGCGACGGACAAGTCTTTTGGTAGCAGAGATACTCAAGAAAGCAAGCGAGCTGCTACCCACGTCTTGGAGTGCAGATCTACAAGCTATGCCTGGCCTCTTCGAAACAGCATTGCGATTCGACACCGAGGATCGTTACAAAGCACTGTCCACAGTCTATCAGATTGATAAGGTCAATTTAAGGATGTGGCGATCAGATCCGACGACAATTACACAGCCGAAGTACGACGAGACAGAGGGTGCCCGCGCTAGATCGGCCTCCAAGACCCAAGTCAACGCCAACATGGATGAGGTTCAGTTCCGAGCGAAGATGCTGGAGACTGGCGTTCTTAGCACAGTGAACTACACGAAGTGGGACTGGAACATCATACTGGAGCTAATCGAAGGCCCCCTCAGCAATCCAAAGCTGCTCTTCGAGGCGACAGAAAAGTCCAAGTTCGTGCACAGGCTTCTGAAGTTTCTGCGACCATTTCAGCTTCGCTTCTCAGATGCTTCGAACACAAAGGCGAACCAAAGATATGTCAAAATGGCGACAACTCTCGTCAAGACTTTGCTCACGACCTCCGAAGGCGCCGGGTATCTTGTCAACAACAAGACCATTAGACAGCTCGCTGAATGCCTAGCGCAGCTGGACTCTGCAAGTGGTATCACGGCAAAGAATCCAATGTTCTCGCCTGAACGTCTTTCCGATACTCTCGTCGGCGGCTACTTTGCTATGCTGGGGGTCATGTGCAGTGATCCAAAAGGTCTGCAGATTCTGGAGCGATGGCACATTATCAACATGTTCTACCACATTGTCGAGCTGAAGAATCGAGATGACCTGATCAGATGCCTCCTCACCAGCTTGGACTACACGCTTGACAGCCATCCTCGAATCATCCTTTCGAAAGCAATGATTGCAGGGTCGAAGCACATGCGCATCATGGCCACGAAAATTCTACGACCATATGCCGCTCAATCCATTGAAACCACATCGACTTTAGGTGGCTGTGCTGCTGAATGGGCCATAAAGCTTCTGGTCAGCCAACTTTACGATCCAGAAATCGAAGTCTGCGAAGTGGCGATCAAGATCTTGGAAGAGGCGTGCAATGATATTCGTTCGCTCGAGTATGTTGTCAAATGTCGCCCAGCTCTTGATCATCTTGGCGAAATCGGCGCGCCGCTACTCCTCCGCTTCCTTAGCACATCTGTGGGCTATCACTATCTGGACGGTCTCGACTACATCACACGAGAAATGGATGACTGGTTCCTGGGCCGGAACGATAGCTACGTGACAGTTGTCGAAGCCAGCCTCGCGCGTGCATTGAATGACTCACAAGAGAAGTCGCAGCAGCAGGCGGGAGTGCTGGACGATGCTCTGACGCCGCACGACTTTGGCTATGTTCCTCCTCACTTCTACCGCGAGCTTACTCGTACAGCAGAAGGATGCGAATTGCTCAAAGCCAAGGGTCATTTCGAGGAGTTCGCAGCGACCATCCAGGACTTCGCCACGGAAGAAGAAGACCCAGAAACGATCCTCAAAGTCAAAGGTTGTCTCTGGGCAGTAGGCAACGTAGGCTCAATGGAACTGGGCGCGCCATTCCTTGAACGAACAGATGTAGTCAAATACATCGTCCAAATCGCAGAGACAAGCCAAGTCATGACCCTCCGTGGCACAGCCTTCTTCGTCCTCGGCCTCATCAGCAGAAGTCTTCACGGACACGAAATCCTAGCCGAACACGACTGGGACGGAACCATCAACGTCATGGGCGAAAGTCTCGGCTATGTCTTACCACTCCACTTCGAAAAGCTCTTCAGCATACGACCATTCTCCGCCTCCGATCAGCCTAACACCGCGCTGCTTCGAAATCGCCCAGGCAAAATCGAAGATCAGTCAGACCCTACGAACCAAGCGATTCTGGACAGCATCACGAAACTCGGAAATACTGTACTCATGAACAAAGCTCTTGCGGAACTGAATGCTTTTAAGCATAAGAAGGCTTCGGGCTTCCAGAGTCCTGCGTTGTTCAGGAAGGTTATGGTTCTGTTGAGTAGTCATGCCTATCGTATTCCGCAGTGTAGGTTTGTTATTGATCTTTTTGATAAGCGTGTGCTGAGGAGGATTGTGCTTGAGGAGGAAGAAGATGAAGAGGAGGAGGAGGAGGAGGAGGGGGAAGGGGAGGAGGAGGAAGAGGATAGTAGCGAGGATGATGACGAGGAGGAGGATCCGAAAGAGGCGGGAGTTTGATGGATATAGCGGAGTTGTGGACTTGGGATGGTTTTTTGAAGGCAAGGGAACGGCGCGCGCTGTTTGCGTAAACGGGAATGGGAATGATCATGACATGGACGATGGATGGATGGAGTATGTATTACCTCTTCGCGCGATTCTAAACGATGACAAGTTCAAGTCTCGCTTTTGGTCAACGAATGTTCCCATATGTCCTTTTTTGATTACCTTTATCTTATGTACATATAGGCCTTGACAAGTCTTTTGCTCTTTTGCCTATACTCACTTCCTCTTCCGCAATTCTAAAATTTCACAAAGTCTGTCTGATCAGCAGCATCAAGGAGAGAATTCTACGTCGACTTATATACAACATTCCGCACCACCCAAGCTGGGCCTTGATCAAGTCTCGATGGAGAAAGGCGTATTCGTGACTATGCCTTCCGGGTGTAGTGCCTCAGCCTCACGGCAAACGGTATGGACTTGGAAATCTCCGGTCAAATAACGCTTCCTTCAGGAACTTAGGAGGGAAAATCCGGTTGATATACGGGTTCGGAAACCTTGATCGTCGGGACCAATTTCAGCGCAACATATATATCTGCGAGCCTGCTACTGCTCTGCAAGTAGTGTTGGCCCCAACCGAAACCGATCGAAGCTCATGCAATCCACCTCACTCACTTCTTCGCCTTCTTCGCCTTATACTTCACATACCCATGTTTCCTCCAATCCACCTTCTTCTCATGCATCCTCACTCCTTCCTTCGCATAGGGAAAATTCGTGCCAAACACCGGCAAATTCCTGAGTTTCAGTTCATCCTCGATGACCTTCCATCTTCCGATATCCATCTCTTTGTGCACGGACGTTCGTTTTTGCGAATACACCTTGACGTTGGGGAGTTTCTCGCTCGCGCCGAGTTCCTGTACTCTTGGATCGTCTTTGAGCTTTTTCGGGGGCTCTTTGGCTTGCACTGCTCGGAAGATATCTTCGGCTGTGCGTGCTTTGGAGATGATCTGGTCTGGGACGCGTTTGCCGGTGAAGCGGATGACTTCTCGGACGATCTGTGATGGATTAGTAAGAGGTTGGGATTCAGTTCGGAGGGTCTGTCGTACTGCTAGTTTGAGGTCGGGGTTTGTGATGTTTATCTTGGTAAGGTCTTGTTGTCCCGCCTTGCTTGGCGTCTCGCGATGGACGGTTTCCAGAATTTTCTTCTCTAATTCGAGGAGCTCTTCTTCACTGTCCAGATTGGCTCCAGTCTCGCGCATGAAGCTGCCTGCGTGTTAGAACTTTCGTTGGTTCATCGTGGTGTAAGCATGTCCTACCCTTCGTATACCTCTCCTTGGTCAGCACGAGCTTTCGCCCACTCGCGATTACCCACGCGCTCCAATCCATGCCAAGTCGTTGCTGGCAAATAATCTTTTCTTTTGCTGGGATCAACTCGTTGCGCAACTTCGTACTCGACTCCGTTCTGCATTATGGTCTTTCTCGTGTGGTATTCCTCGCGCTCAGCTTCTGGATCAGACACATCCCCATCGTCTTGCTTCTTCTTCTTCTCTGGCTGCTTTTTGCCGAATATTGAGTCTTTTAATCGCTGGTAATAGGGGACTTCGCGCTGGGCGTCGCGCTGGCGAGTCGTGTGGAATTGTCGCGCAGCTTGCGCCATACATGACCGGCATACGTATGGCTGGCGAGATGGCTCAGTGGCCAGTCTCAATGCCTCGGAGGCTACTCGTATTCGCCGCATGCTGTTGTGATGTTGATGAGTGGACGTTCAATGCAGCTTCGGAGGTGAACATCTCTCCGCAG